CCTGCCAGTCATCAAGTTCAGCATCACCAACAGATGCTCCTACACTCTATGGCCGGCTGCTCTGCCGGTGGGCGGAGGTGTGTGGCTAGACCCAGGGAAGACATGGACCATCAAGGTGCCTGACGACACCACTGGAGGGCGCGTGTGGGCACGCACAGGCTGCTCATTTGATGGAAAAGGCAAGGGATCATGCCAGACAGGCGACTGCAATGGTGTACTTGCCTGCAAGAGCGAAGGTCAGCCGCCCTACACGTCTGCCCATTTCTCACTCAACCAGTTTAACACGAACAGTTTCTTCTACATCTCCCTCTACGATGGCTTCAACGTACCCATGGAGTTCCTGCCAGTGCCGGAGAGTACTGGGAAGGTGGGGCCACTGTGTATCAAGGGGCCACGTTGCGCAGCCAACATCACGTCACAGTGTCCGAACGAGCTCAAGGCACCAGGAGGATGCAATAGCGCATGTGATGTGTTTGACAATGAGTCCAATGTGTACTGCTGCCCTAACACCTGTGAACCTAACAAATATTCGGTCGTCTTTGTCCGGATGTGCCCTGAGGCATTAAGCTACTCTAGAGATGCTCCCCCAAAAACTGCATTCAGTTGTCCATGGGGAACCTACTACCAGATCATCTTCTGCCCACCGATCAATCTAACTTCTTCACCTCCAGCAAGTCCACCTCTTTCATCAAAACCAGCAAGTCCACCTCTTTCATCAAAACCTCCAAGTCCTCCTATTTCGTCAAAACCTCCAAGTCCTCCTGACTCAACAGTTATTATGCCATCAAGCACTGGACCTTCATCCAGAAAAGTAGGCACAACTGTTTCGATTGCAATTGCAGGGTCCATAGTCGGTTTCATTTTAATTGTCGCACTCATCCTTTTCATTGTACATCAAAGAAGAACAAAACAACACCATGAGATGGAGGAAGAGGAGGCAGAGTTTGGTAAGCTACAAGGAACACCAATGAGGTTCACGTTTCAACAGTTAGAAGTAGCAACCAAGCAATTCAAAGACAAGCTCGGCGAAGGAGGATTTGGGTCTGTTTTCGAGGGACAACTAGGTGAGGAAAGGATTGCAGTAAAGCGTTTGGATCGAACTGGACAGGGAAAGAGAGAATTCCTAGCAGAGGTTCAGACAATTGGCAGCATTCATCATATCAATCTGGTTAGGCTGTTTGGTTTTTGTGCAGAGAAATCCCATAGGCTCTTGGTTTATGAGTACATGCCAAAAGGATCCTTGGACAAGTGGATCTATTGTCGACACGACAATACCGCTCCTTCATTAGAATGGAGAGTACGATGCAATATTATCACTAACATAGCAAAGGGTCTCGTGTATCTTCATGAGGAGTGCATGAAGAGAATTGCTCACTTGGATGTCAAACCACAAAATATCCTCATAGATGACAACTTCAATGCTAAACTTTCTGATTTTGGTCTATGTAAGCTCATTGATAGGGATATGAGCCAAGTGGTTACCAGAATCAGAGGCACACCTGGATATTTAGCTCCTGAATGGTTGACATCACAAATCACGGAGAAGGCCGATGTCTATAGTTTTGGCGTGGTGGTCATGGAAATTGTGAGCGGAAGAAAGAATCTCGACACGTCCCAATCTGAAGAGAGCATCCATCTTATTACCCTATTGGAAGAAAAGGTGAAGAACAATCACTTGGTAGATTTGATTGACAAGAACAGTAATGACATGCAAGCACACGAGCAGGATATAATTCAGATGATGAAGCTAGCAATGTGGTGTTTGCAGATCGATTGCAAAAGAAGGCCTAAAATGTCGGAGGTAGTGAAGGTCTTGGAAGGTACCATGGATGCAGAGAGCAATATAGATCATAACTTTGTTGCAACAAACCAAGCGAATTTTGGCATTGCTGCAAATGTGACCTCTTCGGCTGCACATCCAGCCTCACATCTATGAGGCCCCAGGTGAAATGAGACAATCCTGACAAGACATGCAATTAGATTATGAGCAGTACAGGAGATTTGCCTATGTAAAGCAAATGATATGTTTGTTGTATACTTGTATCTTCTCAAATTGCTACAATCTGATGCCCCTTGTCTCGAGTTAATTTTACGTGCAAAATACTTGTAGTTCTACAGCAGCTGGACTGAACTTATTCATTGGAATGTTCAGTTTCTCTATGTAATGCTGGTCGGTTTGTAGATCAACTAATGTAGGTCTGTTTCTAGTCAGTGTGATATAAATTAACAGCATGTTCTAAAATGCTAGAAACAGCTGGACTGAATTTGTTCACTAGAATGTTCAGTTTCTCCATGTAATGCAGGTCTGTTTTCAGATCAACTGTCGCAGGTATATTACTAGTCATTGTAATTGGAATCAACAACATGTTCCAAAATGCTCCTAGGCCCCAACAAAGCAGAGGAAATGGACAGAACGAAAGAAATATCTTGACTAACTAACACGGAAAACCACCAAAACAAAGCGGAGGGAAAACCACCGAAAGAATGGCTGGTGACACAGATGTTTTTCCACTTTTATAAAGCTGTTTTTATTAACTTAAAATGTAGCATCAAGCGAATATAAAGTATGACGAGCAACACTCAGCCTCTGCATAACTAAAGATGTACACAACCAAGTACTAACAAACTGATAAAAGATAAAAAAAAAAGCCGACATATCAGCAACAATAAAATCATATAAGACCGACACTATGCCTACGTCGAAGGGGGTGGTGGACCATTCCGAAGATTATGATGCCACCCATGTTGGGTATAAACCTCCCTGGCCACCCGCTCCAACCGTATACACTCTGCCTTGAACGGCGGTTGCTACTCCGTTCAATATAGCGTAGACCACGTATGAAGCGAGTGCGTACAGCGAAAATATTCATCGATAGTATATTTCACTTAAGAGCCTTGGCGCAGTGGTAAAGCTGCTGCCTTGTGACCATGAGGTCATGGGTTCAAGTCCTGGAAACAGCCTCTTACAGAAATGTAGGGAAAAGCTGCGTACTATAGACCCAAAATAATCGGACCCTTCCCTGGACCCTGCGCAAGCGGGAGCTACATGCACCAGGTTGCCCTTTTTATATTTCACTTAATAAAGCATGAACTACATCACAACGTGTTAGCATTAAGATAGAAACCACGACTGAGAGAACCTGTCATTAGTACCATACAGCTGAGTTGCCGGCCATCTCAAAATAACAAAAATCAGGAGCTACCAAACGAAAGCTATATTATATGTCCTCTACCACTACAGTAAGTTATATGGCCGGCTTGAGGACGGCAGTTGACCATTGAATGTTTCCACCACGCAAATTAACAAGTGTTGGACAACTACGCACTGATGTTGCTGATCTCCGCTCCTCTAATTAGTTGTTATCCATAATTTCATCCCAAGACATGTCCTATTACATACTCAGACAAAAGAGAATTTATTCAGTTATGCTTCAGCTAACAATGCGTGCAAACCGCACAACACAAATGGCAGCTGTGGCCACCTCCCCTCTAACTCCCCATCACCTGCCCCTCGTTCTCCTCTGCGTCCTGCTCCTCCTGCCAGCCGCTGCCGCCCAGACGACACTGAAGATCACAACATGTGCCCCTACACCGTGTGGCCAGCCGCCATGCCGGTGGGTGGTGGCATGCGGCTGGACCCAGGGACGACATGGACCTTCGACGTGCCTGATAACACCAAAGGAGGGCAAGTATGGGCACGCACGGGCTGTTCATTTGACATCAATGACAAGGGGTCGTGCCAGACAGGCGACTGTGATGGCGTTCTCACCTGCAATGGCCGTGGTAAGCAACCCTTCACGCTTGCAGAGTTCTCGCTCAACCAGTTTGAGCACAACAGCTTATTCTACATCTCCCTCGACAACGGCTTCAACGTGCCCATGGAGTTCCTGCCAGTGCAGGTCAAGGGGGAACAAAGAAGGTGCAAGGGAACACGCTGCAGGGTAGACATCACGTCGCAGTGCCCGAGCGAGCTCAAGGTGCCGGGAGGCTGCAACAGCACATGTCCAGTGGTATCCAAATTGCCTTGCAAATACACAGACTTCTTTGTGCAGATGTGCCCGGAGGCAATCATTGACTCAAGTGATTCTCCCTCAGTGATTGTATTCAGCTGCCCATGGGGAACCACATACCAGATCAACTTCTGCCCATCGATCAATCAAACGCCTTCAGCTGCAAGTCCTCCTCCTTCATCAAAACCTCCAAGTCCTCCAGACACAGCTCCTTTTCGGTCATCAAAAGTGCGCACTGTTGTTGTGATTGCAGGTGCCATAATCAGTTTCATTTTAACTGTCACCTCCATCCTTTTTGTCGTACATAGAAGAAGAAGAAGACGCAGACACCATGAGATGGAGGAGGACGAGGCAGAGTTTGGTAAGCTACAAGTAACACCAATGAGGTTCACGTTTCAACAGTTAGAAGTGGCAACTGAACAATTCAAAGACAAGCTTGGGGAAGGAGGATTTGGGTCTGTTTTCGAGGGACAGCTTGGCGAGGAAAGGATTGCAGTAAAACGTTTGGACCAAGCTGGCCAGGGAAAGAGAGAATTCTTAGCAGAGGTTCACACAATTGGCAGCATTCATCATATTAATCTGGTGAGACTGCTTGGTTTCTGTGCAGAGAAATCACATAGGCTCTTGGATTATGAGTATATGCCAAAAGGATCCTTGGACAAGTGGATCTATCGTCGACATGACAATACTGCTCCTCCGTTAGAATGGAGGGTACGGCGCAAGATTATCACTAACATAGCAAAGGGTCTTACTTATCTTCATGAGGACTGCATGAAGAGAATTGCTCATTTGGATGTCAAACCACAAAATATCCTCATAGATGATGACTTCAATGCTAAACTTTCTGATTTCGGTCTATGTAAGCTCATTGATAGGGATATGAGCAAGGTGGTTACTAGAATGAGAGGTACACCTGGATATTTAGCTCCTGAATGGTTGACATCACAAATCACGGAGAAGGCAGATGTTTATAGCTTTGGCATTGTGGTCATGGAAATCGCGAGTGGAAGAACAAACCTTGACACTTCCCGGTCTGAAGAGAGCATCCATCTTATTACCCTATTGGAAGAAAAGGTGAAGAACGGTCATTTGGTAGATTTGGTTGACAGGAACAGTAATGACATGCACGCACATGAGCAAGATGTAATTCAGATGATGAAGCTCGCGATGTGGTGTTTGCAGATTGATTGCAAAAGAAGGCCTAAAATGTCGGATGTAGTCAAGGTCTTGGAAGGTACCATGGATGCAGAGAGCAATATAGATCATAACTTTGTTGCAACAAACCAAGTGAATTTTGGTATTGCTGGAAATGCAACACCTTCGGCTCCACCTCTAGCCTCAGATCTATCGGGCCCGAGGTGAAATGATACAGTCCAGACAAGATAGACATTTAGACTATCAAAAGGAAATGTTCTGAAAACATAATGCATCTCGCTCTATCGAATCAAATTAATAAAATCTAAAGCCGCTTATGTGTTGATTTTCTCTGACAAATATTTCAGTATTGCAGACCATGTTAACAACAGCTGGGCTAAATGTATTCATCAATTTGTTCAGATTCTCTATGTAATTCGAATATGTTTTCTAGCCACTGTTTTTGAAATCAATATCATGTTTTCTAGCCACTGTCCTTTAATAAGGAAGAGAAATTGGCAGAGTGAAGGAAATTTGGGAGTGCGGATTAACTAGCACTGGGATCAATTATAAATCTCGAGTGCTTTTACGTCCTCCCAGTATCCACTGTGTTTTTTGTTATATCAAAGATAATGTTCTGCTTAGTAATGTTCACTGTACGTGGCATTTAATGTTTCAACTCAATCAGCATTCTGATAATAACAAAGTGTATGGCATCATCATAAATAAGGTTCAATAGTCTGCAGCGTCGCATGTTTGTACCTTCATGCTCATGGAAAGATCAACAATGCATCGCCCCGTGTCGCTTGCATTTGACTGAATTATCTCTGCTATCTGTGACCATGTAATGGTATTGCCATGACAAGAGACTTCAAAACAGTTTGATACTGTACTTAATAACAATGGTCAGTAGGTGGATAAGAAGCTGCTGCTTACCATGCAGTGCCGATGCTGCTCGTTTGGCATCAGTAAGGACCGACGTCTAAGTATAGGTGCCTTGCGAAATTTCTTTAGTAAGCTGTTGATCGCCATCTCGTTGCCGGGTGCTGAAGCGAATGGCAGGAGGACCCCAGATTGTACTTAATTAGGCACAGATGATCCAAAAACCTGTATCGGGACTTCGGGAGAGAGAGGCGTAGCTAGGGCAGAGTGCCGGCCTGCCACAGGAAGCGCACGACGGCACGGGCGACCCAGAGCCGCCGGCAAGTGTGGCGTGGCGGCGGAGGAAAGGGGATGGCCCTGCTGATTTTCTCTCTGGTCGGTCCTTACTGATGTAATCTGGAACTGCTTGTCATCTGGATTCTGGAACTGCATTTGAAGACCAATTTACTGAGCCTGAAAGCGATGGAGGAAGCTGAAACGAAAAGCAAACGCATAAAGATTAGTTGACCACCTAAGTCAAGTGGGCAACAACATAGCACAGGACCCTCGATGTAGTATCCAATGATGCAAGCACCCAGGTGTCCCCATGCTCCTCATTCAAATAATCAAACAAAGTCCGAAAAGATTTTACACCATCGACACAAACAATTTCATACTTAAAATCTTGATATAATTTTAAATACAATTTGTTTTATGTATGTAATCAAAACCAACATGTGCCACTTTTCCATGCTCGTCGTGCTACTCCGGCTCCTCGTCGTCCTCGATTTCGAACTCCTCAAAGAGGTGCTCCCACCGTGTATTGTTGATGGAAATGAGCAGCGCTCGCAGTCCATGGTGTGGGTGCTCAATGCAAATGCAGGAAAATAATATGGTTCACTTTTGTTGATGCGATGGCGTTGAATTTCGAAGGCAACAATAAGCAGCTATCGGAGATGGCAGTCGTGGCCGTTGTGGGGGAAAGGGGTGCAGCTAGGGAAGAGCGGCCGTCTGTCATAGGAGCGGCAGGACGATCAAAGCCATTGGAACTTGGGAGATGGTCCACACAAGCTTCTCTTTTATCTGTGTGTTGGCTGACTATATCTATTGAAAACCTATAAGCCTTCATACGGTACTTGGCCATGTGTGTGCCTTCAGTGATCTGAGTGTGTGTTATAATATTGCAAGTCACGGAACTATGTACCATGTTTTCTTCTGAATGTTGTCCAAAATCCAAACATATAATGTGTTCCAAGACTCCATCCTTAAGGTGTACCATTCTGCGTTTTGATTTTCGGTTTGTGTTTTTTTTCGTCCTTGGCCGAAATGGCCGAATTTCGGGAATTTTAAATTTTTTGGCGAAATCTCAGACGAAATTTCAAAATCAAAATTTGAAAATTTGGCCAAAATTTGTCCGAAATTCAAACAAGATTTGAAATAAAACAGAGCATAAATATAGCAGCACAACGACCATCAGGATTGATCATATAAACTTCAGCAAATAAGCTCTAGGGATTAATAAAACTGCATCTGTCCAACTTAACAGGCACACATTAGTTATAAAGTGGCCTCCATCATAACCCTTAACAGTCCAACATCAGTTCAAGCATCACAGCATAGTTCAGAGTTTAAATAGTCCGGTACAGCCAACAGACTTAAAGGATTACACATAGAAACAACAGCTCAAAAGACAACCATCAAAGCATGACATTGAAACAGCAGCTCCAAGCTTGCCTACATCCAAAAGCTTCTTGATATCCTTGGTTATTCTTCAAATGCCATTTCTGGTTTAGAGAAAACAGAGGAAGGGTCAGGATGGAGGTAGTTCTGCATCAGAATTATCTTCTGCCACTTTGTGCATAAAAAATAAAATGGACTAACAGGACAAGAAGTGGCTAGTAGAACAATAGTCAAATGTTATGCATGCTCATGAATCAAATAACAAATCTACTACAGCAATATAGTTTTTTATTCACCAAAAAGCTCCAGGAGCAAAGGTTAAATTCCTCCATATACTAGAATGATGAATTCTAGTTCATAGTTTGTACTCCAGCACAATAAAACTCTTAAGGATACAAAGAAAGCGACATGGACACAAACAGCCCATTGTTGGCTTGGACTAGCCATTTGTCAATTGTCATACAGAAGGAAAATCCACGGTGAAAAATGTGAATCAAAAATCATGCATAAGCTCAAACATATTACAAGATAAATACAATGGTTAATATACCTATAAAACAGCAGCTCCAAGCTTGCATACACCCAAAAGCTTCTTGATATCCTTAGTTCTTCATGTGGCATTTCTGGTTTAGAGAAAACAAAGAAAGGATCAGGATGGATGTAGTTCAACACCAGAATTTTCTTCTTCCACTTTGTGCATAATGAAATAAAATGGACTAACAGGGAAGTGTCTAGTGCAACAATAGTCAAGTGGTAACAGTTCAGGATAATATGAATACATTGCTTAACATGATAACGAGGCTAGGCATGGATAGAAAGCTAACACATCTAAGTAACTAGCAGCTCCAAGTAACTCAAATTTTCTAAGCAATTATCATGAATCATAAAACACTAAAAAGAAGAGACTTATCAGCAGATTCTAAGCAACAGGGTATGGGCTGTTGACGTCCTTGCTCCTTGGTCTTCTTCTTGACAAGCCGTGCAGATCTACGGGTCTCCAAATTGCCATCTCTTGATGGTGCGTCCTTTCCACTTGAATTTGTGTCTCTTTTTCTTTAGGTTGCACCCCCACCTTTGTGCTTTAGGCTGCAGTACACACAATCAAAACCACCATAATACGGCCATGCATGGTTCCAAGGATCATATAAGTTATTGTCTTTAATTTCTGCATTGCAAAGTTACAAACAACATCACTTTAAATGAACCTAGCAAATCAAGATCATATGGTTCCATTTGCATCGTGTGAACAAGCATAGCATAGTAATACCTTTGCAAGATCTTTGGGAACCACTTGCATTTGCATCGTGATTGCCATTGCCACTCCTATTTGCAGTTCCAGGACCTGAAAATCACATGCCAAAAGAACAACGGTCAGTTATGAAGAGTATGAAAATCACATGCTTACTTTGGTGTCCTCATATGAATTATAAACAAAAACAGTACAGCTTAATGCTCTAGTCTAGATACTAAGGAATAAGTAATTTATATACAACCTGATGCTCTAGTTTGCCAAAAAGACAAGTCAAAAACTATAATCTATTATTGAGAAAGATGTTGCAAAGCTTAGTTCTAGAACCACCACTTAATGATACCGCTGAACATTGAAACTAACCATTGGTCAACATCTAAATAATACACAAGTAACACAACTGATTTTTTATTGGACGTTCTGTAGATCTAAATAAATAATCAATTCCAACATGAGATGCTTCTGCAAACATACAAGCCAGTGGTTGGACGTGATAAAAAACTTTAATATTGCACACAAGAATCATCTCAACAGCTCAAAAACAAGCACACAACCCAGATCTATGGAACGATTATATATTTTAGGATGTTCAGAATAACATTTGGAACCCACTTTTTTGTTGGACTAAAATAAATATTACCAGATCGTGAGCATCCTTAGTGACTACCAGATGCATGTATGTTTCAGATTATATACCAAACCAAAACATTGTGAGACTCCTTGGTGAAAACCCGTTCTGCTTTGCCAGGCCGACGGCGGCGGCGTTCTTTCGTCGTCCCCTTCTTGAAGGCACCGTCACGGCATCTCATTTGTCGTCGGAGTGCTCCGGGGGAAACTTTGATCCTTGGATTGCGGTGGTGACACAATGGTGTTGTTCCCTTGCTGAAGGCGCCGCTTTGGAGCTCGTTGTTCGTCTTACACGGCTTCTCCTCTTTGCGGTGGCCCGCCCACGGTTGAGGGCCCCGACATCTTCGTAGTAGTGCTTATTGTATTCATCTGATGTTGGCTAGGATTTTGTTGGGGTAGTGTTGCTGTTATCAGCGTCCTTCTATCTAGCCTTGGGTGGGTGTGGTGCGGTGTGTGTTTGTATCAGCAGGAGTCGGTTGTTCGGTGATGCTTTATCTATAAAGCGGGGAAAACCCTTTTTCGTAACTGTCACGAAAGATTCTGAAGATAAATGCACAGAGGAGAATTAGATAGGAAAAATGTATGCGAGATACAATGGGCTAATGGCAAGAACCAGATGATGCCTCGTGTCCTGGTTGGTTTGCCATTATCCTAGCTCCTGATGGCACTTGTGTCTGTGCAGCCCATCTAAAGAAGCATGTCATTGTTTTCAGTTGTCCTATAATTTCTGCACTTTTAACAGAGCAGACAAGCACTTGTTTTTCAGTGGGGCTTGCTAAGATGGATGTATAATGATGATATGATTAAGAAAAAGGGTTCCCCGCTTTATATTATAAAGCAACAACGCAACATCGAGAGCACCGATACAAACACACGCCAACACCGCACTCAAAAAACACACCCAAGGCAAGATACAAAGGTGCTGGGCACCGACACACCACCCCAACGACTACTAAGCACACTACAAATGAGCAAAGAAGAACCGCTTTGAGCCGACGGAGACCGCCACAAGAGCGATCCACCGAGGAGGGCGAGACGGCCAATGTCGGAGCGGGGACTCCAAAACGGTGCCTCCAAGAAGGGCACGACTACGGAAGCCGCCACCGTCCGATCCCGTGGATCAAGTTTTCACCCGGAGCAACACGAAGGGAGTAAGAGCACTGCGACGATGCCTGCAAGGAGGAAACGACGACCGCGGCTGCCACCGCCGTCGGCCAGTCCAAAGACTGGGCAGGTGATGTACCCCGTTGCTCCGACCCCTTCGATGCAACCCCGCTCCACCAACCACCTGCATCCATGCCACCCAAGCGGCCATGTCTGCTCGCCCACTCCCGAGGCGCGCAGTCTGCCCAGGACCAACACGTCTCCCACCGCCAGGGCCGCCGCCCTGCACCCAGACCACCCCGAGACCATCAAAGGAGACGGCTTTGGACAGCTCCGCCAACCCCGACCACAGTCGGAACCGGCCGCGACCGTCCCGCCTCAAGCATCACCAAGAAAGCGACCAGAAAGCACCATGTCGAGGAAGGGGGAAGGGAAGGAGCGGCACACGGCCACGACCGGCACCCCCTGTGCCGGCGACGGGCGGCTCAACCATGTCGGAGCCCCCATACCTCCTACCGGCCTCCCCCTCCCCCGAAGCACCTGCTTCGCCCCAACACGGGTACTAGCGCAAACCGGCGAGAGACCCCCAACAGCCGCCCGTCCGCCGAAGGAGGGTAGATCCGCCGCCCCCGTCGCCAAGGATGGACCCAAGGGAAGCCCGCCCCGCACCGCACGCCGTCGTCCAGATGCTGGGGAAAAGGAGCCTGGCAAGAGTCCGGAACGCGCACACACCACCGCCGCCGCGACCACGCCACCAGCACCGCCAGATGAACCATGGCAGCACCAGTCGCCCGTGGCCCCTGCTGGCCTCAGCCCTTGCCGCCAGACGGGCCACCGGCAGCAGATCCGGCCGGATCTGACTGGGCCATCGCACGCGAAACCACCCAGAGAAGAATCCCCCATCACCACCTTGGACCGCTTCACCAGCAGCCGCCGCGCCGCCTCCAAGCCGCCGGGAGAGGCCGCGCCTCCGCCGGACGGCGCCACCATCCCCGTGCGTGCCCGCTGCCGCACCAATGAGCCTCGCCGTAGCCCAGCGTCTCCGGCGGCCAACCGTACCGCGACGGCTAGGGGATCCGCGAGGAGGGGAAAGGAGCGGCCCCGCCGCCGCCTACGCCGGCTGGGCTTTGCCCGGTGGCGCCTCTAGGCGGCGAGGGAGAGGGGGGCGGAGGGGAGGGTGTGGGTGGCGGCTGCGACAGGATCCCCCGTCCGCTCGCGGGAGCGGCTCAGGGGATAAGGTTTGAGGCACTTCATGATATGATTCAACTTCAAGGTATTGTTCTGAGAGATATGCATACGAGAATCAATCTTGTTAATCATTTCTTCGCAAGGTATTGTTCTTAATTCTTTTTCTTCATATTTGATGATGGTTAATAAAGTTAGAAATACACTCCAAAAATCTCTCCTTGGGGAAGCCCCTCCATGGGCAGGCGGCTGCTACTCGTGCTCGCAGGAGAAGCAGGAAACGAACGGAACTTTTTTTTGCGAAAAAGGAAACAAACGGTACTGGATGACCAGGCTAAAAAAAACTAACACCGAAGTAACAACTAACTGTCCCAAGCACCCATATTTTTTGCTACTAAAGAGTAAAGACCCATATTTCGGCCCCATTCAAAAATATGGCGCTAACACCAACCGTCGTTCGGTGAAGTTTCACTACCCACGCGCCCATGCCGGACGATTCCAGCCGACGGCCACCCCAAGCCCTGCCGCTCAAGGCCGTCCGCCCCTACCCACACCACGCTCGCCACGCCGCCCGGTACAGCCAATTCTAGCCGTCCCCAAGACACACCGCGCTCAGCACACCGCGCTCAGCGGGCCGCATCGCCACAAATTTTAGTTTGACTTGAATATGAGTCGAATTGGCATATTCTTTCATTCATGGGTATGAGAAAAGGTTACGCAACAAAATAGAAAAGGAATTGGCTGCCCAAACATTTTCTCTCGTCTATCCATAATGGATTTGGATGCACAAAATTTGTGTCTGCTATTAGAGATGCTCTAACGATGGCCGATGACGCAGGCAAAGCCACGGGAAGAATGGCTGGTGACACCAATGTTTTTCTTCTCTTTTTTGGTGGCTTGACAGCTGTGCTCATCGATAGTATTTTCACCTTAGAAAGCATGAATTACTCCCTCTGTAAACAAATATAAGATCGTTTTGATCACTAATATTTCTTTACCGAGGGAGTACATCACAACTTGTTATACCATCGAGAGTAGAAACCACGACTGAGAGAACTTGTCAGTAGTACCATATAGCTGAGTTGCCGGCCATCTCAACAGATATACAACAAATCTGGAGTTAACAAACGAAAGCTATGTTCGCACTACAGTAAGGTAAGTTATATGGCCGGCCGACTTGACTGGTAGTGGCGGACGGCAGTTGACCATTGAACGTTTCCAACACGCATTAACAAGTGTTTAGACAACTGCGTACTGATGTTGTTGATCTCGGTTCCTCTTAGTTCTTATCCATAATTTCATCCCCAGAAATGTCCTATTACATACTCAGACGAAAGAGAATTTATTCAGTTGTGCTTCAGCTAGCAATGCGAGCAAACTGCACAACACAAATGGCAGCTACGGCTACCTCCCCTCTAATTCTCCCCCACTCGCCTCCCCTCCTCCTCTGCATCCTGCTCCTCCTGCTAGCTGCTACCACCAAGACCACACTGACCATCACCAACCAGTGCCCCTACACGGTGTGTCCAGCCACTTTGCCGGTGGGCGGCGGCATGCGGCTGGACCCAGGGAGGACATGGACCCTAGATGTGCCCGATAAGACCAAAGGAGGTCGCGTGTGGGCACGCACGGGCTGCTCATTTGATAGCAAAGGCAAGGGGTCATGCCAGACAGGCGACTGCAATGGTCTGCTCACTTGCAAGGGCCGCGGTAAGCATCCCTTCACGCTCGCGGAGTTTTTGCTCGACCAGCTTGAGCACAACAGTTTATTTTACATCTCCCTCGACGACGGCTTCAACGTACCCATGGAGCTCCTGCCAGTGCCGGTCGAGGGGCAAGAGGGAAGGTGCAGGGGGCCACACTGCGTGGCCGACATCACGTCACAGTGTCCAAGCGAGCTCAAGATGCCGGGAGGCTGCAATAGCAAATGTCCAGTGGTATCAAAATTGCCCTGGAACTATTCAGACTTCTTTCTGCAGATGTGCCCAGAGGCAATCATGGACTCAAGTCATGCTACCTCAGTAAATGTATTCAGCTGTCCATGGGGAACCAAGTACCAGATCAACTTCTGCGCTTCAATCAATCTAATGGCTCCACCTCCAAGTCTTACGCTTCCATCAAAACCTCTGAGTCCACCTCTTTCATCAAAACCTCCAAGTCCTCCTCTTTCATCAAGACCTCCAAGTCCCCCTGACTCAACTGCTATTGGGCCATCCAGCACAGGACCTTCGCCTAGAGCACTAGGCACAGCTATTTCGGTTGCAATTGCAGGTTCCATAGCCAGTTTCGTTTTAATTGTCACATTCATCCTTTTCACCGTACATGGAAGAAGAACACGACGACACCATGAAATGGAGGAAGAGGAGGCAGAGTTCGGTAAGCTACAAGGAACACCAATGAGGTTCACGTATCAACAGTTAGAAGTGGCAACCGAGCAATTCAAAGACAAGCTTGGGGAAGGAGGATTTGGGTCAGTTTTTGAGGGACTGCTAGGTGAGGAAAGGATTGCCGTAAAACGTTTGGATCAAGCTGGTCAGGGAAAGAAAGAATTCATGGCAGAGGTTCAGACAATTGGAAGCATTCATCATATCAATCTGGTAAGGCTATTTGGTTTCTGTGCAGAGAAATCCCACAGGCTCTTGGTTTATGAGTATATGCCAAAAGGATCCTTGGACAAGTGGATCTATTGTCAACATCGCAACACTGCTCCTCCTTTAGAATGGAGATTGCGATTCAAGATTATCACTAACATAGCTAAGGGTCTCGCTTATCTTCATGAGGAATGCATGAAGAGAATTGCTCATTTGGATGTCAAACCACAAAATATCCTCATAGATGAGGACTTCAATGCTAAACTCTCTGATTTTGGTCTGTGTAAGCTCATTGATAGGGACATGAGCCAAGTTGTTACTAGAATGAGAGGCACACCTGGATATTTAGCTCCTGAATGGTTGACATCACAAATTACAGAGAAGGCTGATGTATATAGCTTTGGCGTGGTGGTCATGGAAATCGTGAGTGGAAGAAAGAATCTCGACACTTCCCGTTCTGAAGAGTGCATCCATCTTATTACTCTATTGGAAGAAAAGGTGAAGAACGGTCACTTGGTAGATTTGATTGACAAGAACAGTAATGAAATGCAAGCACACGAGCAGGATGTAATTCAGATGATGAAGCTAGCAATGTGGTGTTTGCAGATCGATTGCAAAAAAAGGCCTAAAATGTCCGAGGTAGTCAAGGTCTTGGAAGGTACCATGGATGCAGAGAGCAATATAGATCACAACTTTCTTGCAACAAACCAAGCAAATTTTCGCATTGCTTGTAATGTGACCTCCTCGGCTCCACCTCTAGCCTCACATCTATCAGGCCCCAGGTGAAATGAGAATGTCCTGACAAGATAGGCAATTAGATTATGAGCTGGACAGGAGATTTGCTTATGTAAGGCAAATGCCATGCCTGTTGTATACTTGTATCTTCTCAAATTACTATAATCCGAAGCCCTTGTCTCGAGTTAATTTTATCTGTAAAATACTTCAACATTGCAAACCTTGTTGTTCTACAACAGCTGGACTGAATTTGTTCATTGGAATTTTCAGTTTCTCTATGTAATGCAGATCTGTTTGTAGATCAACTAATGTAGGTCTGTTTCTAGTCAGTGTGATAGACATTAAGAGCATGTTCTAAAATGCTAGAAACAGCTGGACTGAATTTGTTCACTAGAATGTTCAGTTTCTCCATGTAATGCAGGTATGTTTTCAGATCAACTAACACTGGTATTTACTAGTCAGTGTGACTGGAATTAACAGCATGTCCCAAAACGCTGCTAGACACGAAGTCACGAACACAGCAGAGAAAATGGACAGAATGACAGAAAAATTGGGTTGTGCTTGTATTACATGATAATAGCTTGTGTTGTGCTTACTAATTAATGTGTATTGTACATAACATTGGATCTCCAGCTCAATTAGCATTCTGGTAGATAATAATAGAGTGTATGGCATCATGATGGATACCTGGACCTGGCAGCTCATCTCTGCTACTGTGACCATGCAATGCTCCCTGTTACCGCCATGCTACTGAATAATAGTGAGATTTGACGAGAATTCGAAAATGAATAGCACTAGTCGGGAGGTGCATGAGACCATTTTGTGACACTTGTGGGACTCCTGAAGTAGGCATCAGTAGGAGCAGCCCCAGACCTGTACTTAGGTACAGACACCCAAACCAAGGTGAATCGTGGCGATCTTCCAGAAGAAAGGAAGAGGAGGAAGGTTCACCTTTTCCGATACGGTGGCGGTGGCGGAGGAGGAGGACGACGGCAGCGGCAGTATAAAGTAGCTGGGAAGCGCACGGGCGAATTGGAAGACAATGGGACCGGGGAGTTGGTCCAGTCGCCGGCGCCGCCACCAGGGGTCGTGGTGGGGCGACGGAGGGTGGGACTTTCTCTCCCTGCTCGATATGGGCCACCAACCTTCAATTAACGGACCCATCTTCCTATTATGCATGATTGCATGTTGTGGTGGACCTTTCTCCATGCATGTTGGATCGTGAGGTACGTGGCATACTTGCATGTTGAGAGAAATAGTCTAGTGGGGACTAGCTATTTAGATATAGAAGATAGGATGCATATTTGGATCCTAAAAGTTTACCAAGTGTGTCACCCACAATCCTATTCGGACTGCATCAACTTTGACTTGCACAAAATGACAGGTTGACTACTGTCACATGACATCTTGTTGCACAAAATCCCTCTAAAATGTCAGCGCTTCTAATTTTTTTTGTCCTCCTACTTGCATATGTCCTCTCTCTTGCCTTCCTCTCCACTTGGACGGCCACAGTCCACCTCGGCCCCCGAACATCGCCAACATGATGAGCTCTTGCGTCACGCGCTTGGAAAACTCTAACACGTCTACTCGCGCCGCCCGGGAAGGGTCATCTGCTGG